CCCGCTGGTATATTAAATTAAAAATAAACTTCTTGTATACAAGGATTAAAACTTTAAACTAATTTAATGCATGTGATTTTTAGGCTTTATAGTCAGTCAAACCACAAAGTCAACTAGGGATCGGCGGAATCTTCTATCTTTAAAGTCTGAAAGCCACCACCCTCGTGATTTCAATTGGACATCAGAGCGTATCTTTCTCCACAAAAACATAATCACATCCTCAAAGATTACGGTCATTGACCTTCTTCTTACTCCTTATTCACCCATAATGCCACCTTCAAAAAAGCTAAACCGACCCATGTAATAAACAGAGCTGCTATCTGTCTCTTTCTCGCTCTAGCACCTTGGGAAATTCCAGAAGCCGTGGCGAAAAAGCCACTTGATCTCCCTATGAACCATACCCTTCAGGAATTTTGTTATCGGTTTGTGGGTTTCGCTGTTTGGAACTGCAGACATTGCTCGAACTGCGCTTTCTCTTGGTAGGGACAGAGAGGGACGGCTTGGGAGGAGGATGTTTGAAATGAGAGAAGAAGGTATTGTTTTCCACGAGTCTTGGTGGCTGTCATTGCGGGTCTTGCTCTTCTTGACGGCATTATTTCTTTCTTTGCATACCTTCAGGTTTGTTATCGTCGTTTTGGATTTGTGGGTTTTGCTCTGAGATTGGTTCATGCATTTCCGCTTTCACTTTTATTTCCATCTAATTGGGGAAGAGGGTATGCAGAAAGATGAAGAATTGTGAAATGGGATGTGTCCAGTTGTTGTTTTTTCTTCGTCGTTGTGAGTGACCTATGAATTGTGTGACCCGGGAAATGTGTTGACTTTGGGAGATTGAATTGCTTTTTGATGATGCATGCATGAATCAATTGAAAATTTTTAGTGTGCATGTTGAAAACTCTCGTCGCTACATTGTACTTTCTCTATAATCGGTTTCGTTCTTAGCTCGATGATTACGGCATTGTATCAAGGCTCTTTGTTTTAACCTATTAAAAGACTTGCACAAACAGTTGGAATTTTGTATTTATTGTCAATGTTCAATCGACTACGTCCGTTGTCAAATCTAAGTCACTAACACCATTTGAATAGGGATACAATTGCAAGCATTGTGCAGTGTATAGTAATAACGGTTTCAGTTAGGGCAATTGGGAAGCTTAGTGGCATCGGGCGCTGTTGATTTGAGTTACATCCTAGTTGATTCTTACATCATCCGTTATAAACGATTGGGATGCTTTTCAAAAAATATTAGATCTTAAAGTCCGTGATGCATGCAATGTGAAAGTTATTTCCTTGCAGTGATTGTCAGTTGCTTTCTCTTGCTGTCACAGTTAATAAGAATCCACATGAGGAATTCACAAGTTGGCTGGACTCGGCAAAAAGTAAGGGCATTTTCCAATCTGTTCTTTGTCAACGTGATTTAGCTCTGAATCTCTGATGTAACATGTTTTCCACGTTGGATGGCTATATGGATATGCTCTTCTCTAACTGAATGAACGTGTTGAAGTTGTTATTTGTGATTGGTCCTTCTTGTTGGTCAGCACTGTTGTCTACTTTTATGGCATACAACATGGCTGTTGGAAATAGGCTCATATATGAATTGTGAAGATGTCAGAGGCTTTTAATTTCAGCAGCAATTAGCCCAATAAGATATATACCAATGGCTGTAAATTGTACGGGACCGGTGATTGTGTTCTTGTTATTCTTGAATTGATGAACTAATATGGCTATCCCAGATCGTCACTCTGTCCCGCACAGATCTTAAGTTATATTATATATGCAATGACTACTACATTAGTAACTACCCATTATATTTTCTGGATAGCAATATGTGCCACCCTTGTGCATTAGAGGCTCTATCTTTCTTTTAAATCTTGCTGGTGTGGGTGTATGTGTGTTGGAGGGCTAGATAAAAATGTGAAAATATTAGTAATGAATAACGAAGGAGAATCTGGTGATGTGACACAGTTTTGATGTCCTAGTGTCATTGGTGTACTTAATTTTAACACACTGTGTTACCATAGATGGGTGTACATGGGGAGTGCGATTAATTTATGTTTTGTCTATTGTATTCTGAAATTGATACTTCTTGTAGTTATTCTTAATGGCTTCTTTATGGATGTCTATGTTTATGGTATGAACTTCCACGTATGTCACTAGGCTTACTGCACGCAACTACTCTTCACTGCTTTATAGATATATATATATATATTAGCTTCTCATGAGATGTAAATATGATGTGCTGCAGGTGTTCATCTAATGATTGGCAGTTCCAGTTTGGGTTTGTTCTATTTTACTTTTAATGATTAGTTGAACTGTTAATTTATTTAGCATGGAATATCTCTTGCAGTTTTTGATTGTTCCTTTGATGCCATTTCCACATTTTTTATGGTTTGATTGAGCTAACTGCATTTCATGACTAAGCTTCATAATCCCTGTTGAGTTGTTTGTGACCAAGTCGTGTGCATGAGTCAAGTATTAATTTGAACATAGGCAGGTTGAATCCTTAGAAAAGAACATTTCTTTGGCTCTATTTTGGCACGTTTTGCCTTCTTAACAATATAATTTTGTGCTAAGTAGCATGCCAAGTCTTTTCACTTTCTGGCAAGGTTGATTATGACCTGGGGCCTATGTTTTTCTCTGGAAGCTTCGATCTTAATCAGTTTATATGTAGAAAGGTTAGTATATACACATTACAGACCAGCACAAGTACAAGAATGATATGCTCCTTACCACCCCGAAAAGCCACATTTCTCTCTCTAGAAGACACAATTAAAGTTAGGGGCATGCAGGTGATTTTGTTGAAGGCAGTAATCTGAAGAAAACTGAATTAAAAATTTGAAGTAATATTTTTATTATAAATTAAAGTTTTAGATAATTGCGTTTTCATTGTTGTAGGTGCTAAAGATAAGGTTTTCACACTGCTTTAAAGTATGGTTTAAACTGATTCGAATGTATTGTTCCTGACTTGTTTACATGAAGTTAGCTCATGCATGCCTTATAGGCGCAAAAGCAAACAACTTAAGAGAGGAGGACTTTATCCATATGAGGGTGCACATTGTACATACAGTGACACACGCTACCTTAACATTTAATGAAAGGCACACTGTTGAATAGCATTTTTCCAGACAGGTTTCATGAAAGCCGCTGCTTGTATCATGTGAATCTGAAATTAGGTTACGCCGATTACTATTTTGTTTAAATACTGGTCATTATGAATTTTGTGAGAAATTGTACTATTTAATTTAATGCTTATCAATAAATAATTTATTTAAGTTTTAGATAGCTATAGGACTGTTCATGGGCTAAGTCAGGCTTGACCTTAGCTTGATGCCCAGCATGGGATGGGAAAAACACTATAGGCTGCATTTTAATTTTATGCATGGTCATTCTTCATTGCATTCTTGAGAGTTGAGCCTTTAGTTCTTTCTGTCACTATATGATAATCAATTGATTTCCTGACATAATCATCACCAGATACATTAAATAGTTCCATTTTTTTTCTTATAATATATATATATATATATTTTTGCCTTTTAATGAACATAAGATGTTTGGCCATATTGTTGTTGTTTTGGTTTGCTTTCTGTACTTGATTCCATTTGATCTGTTCAATTTGGGATTCATATTTCAGGTTTCTTCTTTTATTTTGTATTGACACTTCTTGGTACTTGCTATGGATGGACGTGCTGGTCACACTCCTGTGGTTTTATTTTTTTGGGTATACCTCCTTTCGTTACCAACTAGAAATTTGTGATTTGTGAAAAGGTCTTAGCCTTAACAACCAAATGATTAAACTGTTGATGTTTTGTCTTGCAGCTTTCCCTAAAATACTTTTCTTTGCAGCATTTCTTCTACTTTTATCCTTCTGGTATGTAATCTGATTTTTTAAAAATTCTTGTTGGTTTATAGAAATGTGAATTTTCAAGTTACATGCAGTGTTTTCTGGCAAATTATATGTTATGTCAAGTTCTCTGCCGTCATCTTTCATTATTCTCAGTTGATCCTTCTTCTTTGTCCTTCTGTCTGTCTACCTGTCTGATAATTTCTCTTATTTCCTTTTTTATTGGCATTTCTGTGTTGCGATCTTTTCTTCAATCTAAGAGAGCAAGACTGGGAGATGTTGTTAGATAAGAACATTGTCCGCAGACGAACATGACCTTTAAATAGAGGGATAACGACCTATGCATATGCTTTCTGAAAAGAGTAACTTAGGACTCTGATAATTTTTGGTTGTGAACCAGATTGCCCCAAAGATGGGTCATGTGCTGCTGTTCGTTTCATGCTTCAGCAGTTCAGCTATTTTTTTTTCTTTTGTCATTTCCATTTTCGTCTTCTTTAATGATCTTAAATTTATTGCATTGAAGCCACATTCTGAATTAAATTGTGGATTCACTTGAAAATACTTCATCTACTGGAATTGCCTTTTGTTTCTACTAGAATTCCTCTATCAATTCTTGCGTGTTTTCATATGCAAAGAAACCAAGGACAGAGCCACGTCTTCGTAAAAGGGCATGGTTGCCACCCCTAGCATTGTGTTACATGCATGTATGTAAATGCATTTGTATGATATTGTCCTTCCCGAAGCTTTCTGAACATTTTTACTGTTTTTTTTTTTTTTAATTTAATTCATGCTTTTAAAGACAATGTATCCAACTTTAATCTTCATGATACATTCTTTAAAATAATACAATTTAAAATAAGTTAAAAATTGATTTAAGAGACAATAGGTTGATGGATGTTTTAAACTTTGCAAGTCACATGGTTCTATCAGCAATGAAATCAGCGCAGGGGCAGATGGGGAGACTTTCATCCCCTTTTCTTTTTCTTTTTTTCTTTCCCCTGCTATGTTGGAATGCAGGGACAGAAGGCTCACTGCAAGTTCTGCAGCCCTTACTGTATACAATAGAATATTATTGCCCCCAAAATTTGCAATCCGCGGTCTCCTCCTTCAAAGGTTTTTTTAATATAAAATGCTTTTTGAAAATAATATAAATAATTTGCATAAAATATAATTTTAAAGATATGCCTTTATTTAACTTTAATCTTATACTACAGTTTTAAAATAATTAGATATAGTTTTATCATATTATATTTTTTAAATTTTACCATTTAATTTATTTTTAAATTTTAAATTAATTATTATATAGTTTAATAAATGCTCAAAGTAAAACAATTCTATGTTATTGATATAAACTCTCAAACCCCCCCACCCCCCCCCCAAAAAAAAAAACAAAAGAAAAGAAAAGAAAAGAAACATAGCATATGATCATCTAACTCTTCAAGTTATCTGCAATCATCTGCATTTATACATGTATAACTATTTCAGTTACCATATTTTCCTTTCTCCTGACCATGAAGCTGCATTGCTCTTGGGTTTCATTTTACAGGGTTGATCTTTGCCATCAGCCAGATGATGACGATGATTATGAAGGAAGCTTTTCTGAGGAAACTTTACTAAGAAAGTCCTTTAATGATTGTACTTTAGCAGGCAGAGCAAGCCATAGAAAATGGTTTCCCTTCGGTTGTCTCATGTTGGTAATCGGCAGAAGATTGTACTTTTGGTATGCCCATGCTGAGGGTTTTCTTCTTCTGTATCTGCTCATGTAGTTTCCATCTCTGTTGTATCATGTTGCCACTTTCTTTGATGATCATTTAATGATTCACATTAGGATGTAATTTTTTCAAGTATTTCACTTGGACATGATTCACCAGGTTACACTTCTAGTTTTTGTCATCATGCTGGTGGCTGTAATAATATGGATTGGATTAGGGAAGAATCCCATTGATTCAGCAGTGGCTGCTCGGGTATGGACACAGTAATTATGGTTTTGCTATATCGTTTCATGCTATGCAGTGCTCTTTAAATTTCTGATTGATATGTCAAGTTGGTATTGTCTTTATCCTCTTATTGTGGCTACTTTTCCTTTGAATAGTAATATCGGTTTTGATTAGGTTAATTTCTTTCTGTCAGAGCAAGGGGGTAACTCTGCTTCTGTAAAAAAGCTTTTATATCATAATAACAGTGAATCTAAAGATCGTTTAGAGGTCAATACTTCTATTGACTTATTTGTTGTATTATCATGTTGAGTTTTTATTTGTACCCTGCATTTGAAGATTTCTTATCCTTCAACTTTTTATGCTTCCTTCTTTTATAATAAAATTCTTCTCTTAGAAAAGAAACAAAAAGGTCATCTTGGAAATCATAAGTTTGGTCTTTTCTGCTTTGGAGGGGACTGCTTTACATGAAGAGAAAGTGGTGGCGTCCTTTATGGGAGAATCTTTTCTTTTTAATGAAATACATTGAGTTGGTTTGTCCTCAGGAAAGACGGAAGGAGCAGATTTGTAGCATATGATGATGGGGCAAAGATGAAGTTTACTTTTCTCTTTAAATACATGATATGATAGCTACCTGGGGCTAGCTCAGGTAATGAGGGTAGGGTGGAGTGTGGGTTGAGATTAAGGATTCAATCCTCTTGTAACAAAAAAAAGAAAAAGAAAAATGACATGGTTTCACATAAGTGAATGGAGTGAATATATATATTTGTAAACTCGGATTGTTACTTACAAGTTTTGATTTTGAAATCGCCATGGTGCTAACTATGAGTTGATCATAAATAATGGTCATGCCTTAATTGTCCTGAATATTAGAATCTGTCCTATAATTTTGAAGAACATTGTTGGTGATGAAAAATGTTTATTATGATCTAGTGACTTAAAATTTGTTGCAGGTGTATGTAGATATTTTGCTGTTGGAATGCTTATGTTAGGAGCAGCATTAACATGCTATGGTAAGCATGTACTAATCCTTTTGTTTTTCACTGTGTTTTATCAAAATGGACTTTTAATATTTATTCTCATACTTTGCATGAGCGGTAGGCAGTTCTTGAAACTGGTTTAAATCTTCAGCACATTTAAAAGGCATGTTCGTTGTCAAATTAGATGAATGATTAGGCTCTATGGTTGATGTGTTTCTTGCCTTCTACTACTAGTTATCTTACTGTATTTTGCATTTTGTGCTCATTTGATTATTTTTCATTATTACTTGTATCACCACAAGGATGATGAAATTATATAAATTATAATTATAATCTCTATATAATAGTACAACTATTGGAAGAAGCTTTCGTACTAGCATGTACAGTGAAATGAAAACCATGTTCTCACTGAAGCTGAACATTTTCTATATAGACTCGGATTGGATAAAATGCTAATTCTGGGCGAACAACATGGCAATAAATGGGTCAAATCTCTGCCGAGGCCATAGACTTATCTGAAATCTCATTAATATATACTGCTTAGATATATTTGCCTGAATTTCCTATAGCATTTTAATATTGTAAGACTTTAATCTGCGGTTTATAAATTTTGGCCCCAAATAAAAACTACTGGTTACAAATTACACATGACATTGAGTAGCAGTAACAATACTTTGAATTAGTGAGTTACATATAGTATGGATAATACACGTAGTAATGAATATTGATTAGCAGGGATTCTTCTCTATAGAATAGTGAAGCCAATGCAAGACTCTTATGATAGCATGTATGGTGAAATAGTACCGTGTACTAACAGAAACAGAGCATTTTCTAAAATTGACTCATGTAAATTGTAGTATTTGGTAAAACAGGACACAAATTATACGGGGTCAAATTTGTGCCGAGAGTTTATCCTAATCTCATAAATATATACCGCTCAACTTATGTATAATTGTCTGAATTTCCTACAGCATTTAAGCATTATACTTAGACTTTTAATTGATTGGTTACAATGATATTGAATAGCAGTTTATCATGCAATCATTTGAACTGATGAGTGACATATAGTGTGGATAAGGATATACATGGAATGAAGCTTAATTACCAGGGATTTCCTCCCTTTTTGATTAGAAGTTCTTTTTAAAAAGTGAAGGTGTGTCTTGCTGGGATAAGATCTCCTCAAACTCAAAAGTACAAAAATCTAAAAAGCATAATAAAGTAAAAAAATCTCAAAAGAAATCAATGGTGTAAAAAAGCTTCAGTGTTTTTGCATGTTGTGATTCCCTTGAAATGCCATTTGCATACCACTGAGGTCACCTACACAACTCTGTGCTGTTATAGATGTAAAAGCAAAGATTTCCCTTGAGAATGTGGGTATTTCTGTCTAACTACAATGTGGTTTCTTTTTTCTTTTCTTTTTTTCTTTACTGCAAAAATTTAAGTGAATTGGGTCTTGAGGGGCTTATGAGGGCCACCTTATTTTTCTTTTTAAAGTACTAGGATACACCCTACTTTCACATAAAAGACCAAAGAGGTATTCCATAGGTGACACGCTGAACTGAATTTATGAACTTATTCACTCATGGAGACAAACTGCAGAATTCCAAATTAATGCGACATTAGACAGGTTGTCTAGCGTGGTTGACTATGTGCTGGTTACCTAATAGTTAGAACATGGGAACTAGGCCGACTAAAAGCTACGAAAGAGAGAAGGAAACAATGACACAGTTTTGTAATTATTTTGTATAAGAAAAGAATGGATCTGAATCTTTTGGCATTGCAAATGGATCTGTGTATTACACTCATTTATAGCATAAATCTGAAGAAATAAATATCCTAATCTTATCCAAATCTCAACAATATAAATAAACCCTATATATATTATATCTATTTAAATCATCTAAATATATTTAAATCCTATTCAAAAATATAACTAAATCTTATCCAAAATCATAATTTCATAACAAGCACCTGTAGTGCAGAGCGTATAAAAACTTAAATAGACTAGTGTTCAAGAATAAAAGGAGCTGAATTCTCATTCTAAAAACCAATGACTGCAAAAATCAGTTCGAAATGCTTGCTAAGGAATTATTATACTAATTCCTAACCAAACTTTCAGTTTCAACCTTTCATTGAGACGTAAAGTAATTTTTGTTTAAGAGTGATGCTTGCCAAATAGAGACAATCTATCTCTGGCTGGTTTATTTTGATTCAACCGTGAGAATGTGGTGCACTAAAATTTATTTCACATTTTTGCTTACAGCTGCTAGAATTCATTAGTCTATGCTGTCAAAAGAAGAATTCACTGATGTCAACCAAAATCAATGTTAGACAAACCTTAGCATCAAATGGCCTTTTAATTGCTGCCCCAGAATTATGCTAGAATTTGGAGCCCGTTTTGGTATAAAATGGGAAAGGGAATGGAAATGAGAAATCTCCCATGAAGATGGAAAGCATAATTCCAACAACGCCCCTTTGCCATCTACTAAACACACAAAAATAGTTTTTCTCTCATCTTCTTCCTTTCGTCAAATAACTTTTTTTATGTACCACATTTACCCTCAATCTTCGAATCATGTGTTGTGTGCTATACTTTGTGCCCTTCCTACCATCTTAAGATTTCAGAGTATTTGAATTTGCCTCTTCCTTGATTCTACTAATTTGTTCGCGTTAGTGTTCTACTTTTTCAAAATAATACTTTTCTCAATGTTTGTAGATTGTGATAATTATTGGAGAGATCATTTTGAACATGCATGCTAAAAAGATACCTGGATTACTCTTCCCATTGATATTTATGTGTTTGTGTGCACGAATGTGTGTGCAGAATCAAATTTCAGTAGTATTCGTGCTTGATGGAGCTATTTGGGTGGATTCCTTCTTTCCCATATTGAATCCCCTGATGGGCTTAAATTAAAAACTCCAAGTGAAAGCTACTTTTTGGTTGTATTTCTAATGAAAGTTATGCCTGCTTTTGTGGACAGTTTTTTCTGTAGTAGTTTCATTTTGTTTCTTTTACAGGAATCTTATTATGCTTGAAGATGAGCCGAGTAAGAGCTGAGCAACCTTCATCTGAAATGTACAAGGTATATTTGTATCACCCAAAAGAAGGGGTACTGTTTTTTCTTTTCCACTAGAATATTGTAACCCACACAGCTTTTCCATTCGAACTTGAAAAATGGATAATGGGTCTGCTAGTCTCTGGTTGCCCCTTCTAATGCCTTCTGCCAAGTAGAAGTTGATAAACACGGTGAGCTGCTGACGTGCTTGTGTATTAACTGGATGTCTAAGAATTTGACATACAATGGGATAGTGAAATGGCATCATGCAAAGATAATTGCTTATATGCTGTTCCATCATCATCCTACGTGGATGCCATGTTTCATTTTCTTGGACCTCTACGTGCATCATGCATGCATGCCATCATGGCTGCAAGAACTTTACCCATTGTCAGATAGCGTGCTATTTTTCTGCACTTGCACACTTGCACAAACTGATGTGCACTAGCCATATTCCTATAAAGATGAATATTTCTATGTATAAAATTTTGAAGATTAAGACGTTAATATATACATTTCTTACAGGTTGCCTTTTTAACTGTGACCTGTGTACTATGCTTCACATCAAGTGCCTCAGAAGCACTCTTCACTGATATTCCTGTATGTATCACCTTTCTGCTAAAATTGTTGTGTGCTCCATTTCTTGAGCTAAGATGTACAAGATTTCCTGAACTTTCCTCCTCATCATTGATGCAGATGTTGTATCATTGGCGTCCGCAGCATGTGTATGGTGCTTGCACCATTCTTTTACTCATTTTGTATTATTTTGTAGGTATGTGCTTGAAATATTTTCCTTGATTCTCAGTTGTGATGCTTGACGGAATTTTTTATCCACTCCATTTCATGAGTGATTTAGCATTTAGCTTAAATCCAGGCAAAAATGAAAAGGTAGTAGCTTAAATTGTTGACACTAACAGCCTTCTCTGTAAAACCGAATCTGCGTTTATTCTTCAAGAAAGAACTTGGCTATATTGTGCTACTTATAGTTGTTTTTCAAATGGTTTCATGAGTAATTCAGTAGTAATTTAAAGTATTGACAGACTGCTCTCAACGCACCGCATTTTCAGGTTCATCAATACCTTCAGCAATGTTACTGTGGGTAATGAGAGAATTACCGCCTGCAGAAGCTTCTAGCACATGGGAAGAATCGAGCACATTAGCTTTTGTTGGTGATAATCCAGTTATAGTTCATAATCCTCAGCGCTGGACTACTGCAACAAGCATGCAGAATCAGGTTCCTATGTCACTATATTTTTCCTTTAAGCTAATCCATTATGCAGTAAACAATTACTGCTGTGAATAAACCTATTTGCGGTCCTTTTAGCTTAAGTAGTTAAATAAAAACAAATAATCAAATAAAATGCCAGCTAAGAATTAAATTTATCGAATCTAAGATCCTTTTGTCTATGATTCATATTTAAAGATGATCGACATTATTTTTCTATTTTATTTTCATCCTCCAATAGTTTGTCTTGACTCTTGTGGATTCGTTGTTGTTGTATAGACATTTGGGAGTCTGAAAATTATGTTGCAAAACCTGCAAGGAAGCTAAGATTTTGCATTTTGCAGATCTAATGTTCTCAGAATTTTTAATTTTCAACTTTACACTTGAACTTTTCCTAATGTCTCTCTATCAGTGCCGCAAAATTCTTTTCGTATAGCAGTTATCATGCGCTACTCCTGAAAAAAGTCTTTTTCTGTGTGGCCTGTTCAATTAAGTTTCAAAGTAGGGAACATGGTTATTTGACATGCTATCATTTCATCTGTGTTACATATATCTTAATGGAGAAGGTATCACCTTTCGAGCAAATATAATACAGTAGGAGGAGGGGGGGGGGGGGGCTTTTGCCTTGTATATTTGACAAGGCTTAGTGACCACAAATATGAAGTGAAAATTAGATTTTTTTTTTCCCCCCTTTCAATGTGTATCGTATGACTAAGGGTCCATTTGGTACTCAGTTTCATATTTAAAAAGCAAATTTCACTTTTAGGATGCTGGAAGTTGTTTGAGTTAAACATTTTACAAGAAAACACATCCTGAAAGTATATTTAAACAGTGACTGAAAGTGGATTTGAAAAATATAATTATTTGAAGCTTTTTGAAATGTAAATTTAAAAAGTGGGATGTTATTTGACCATGCTACCCAGTTTAATCTCTTATTCTTTTATTTAAAAAATAGTTAATTCATTAAAAATATAATTATCATTTCAATAATAATAATTAGGTATCAAGTTTTTAGCATTATAAATTGAATAATTAATCATGTTAATTTTTAGCATTATTGTATAATAAAAATTATAAATCTTTATCATATTTTTTAAAATTACAAATAAAAAGGTACAAATAACTAGAGATTAAGTTTTTAATGTTATAGATCAAATTTTATGTTATTTAAAATCTTTATCAAATTTTAAATATTTCAAATATATTATATTTGTATAATAAAAATTATAAATTATCATAATTAATGTCTTTTTTTTGATAATTATACATTCAAAAGTACATTTCATTATCAATTTAAACAATTTTTAGTGTACCAACTGATTTTTGAAAAAATGTCTTTGAACACAAATTTTATTATAACAATTGATTTTTATCAAATGAACTTTTACTAAATAAATTTTTAGTAAACTGAAATTAAATAAACTAAATTTTAGAAAAAATAGCTTTTGCTCAAGTGGATGGTAGTCTTCTGTCTTGCGGGAATTGGCTTCATTGGGTTGATCTGAGCTTCTCTGTGCATCTGTTTTCTTCTCATCTTTCTTTTCCCTTTTGACGTTATTTGCTTTCAAAGAACTAAAAAAAAAAAAAACACTTAAAGTCACTTGAGTTTTGTCATTGATGCAGGCATTGAGAGTGAGTCCAATATAATCACGTTTTGGCCACGTGGCATTTACGAGTGGATCTTCATTGTGCCTGCGTTTGGGTGGTTTGTTGGAATTGCTTCAGAATATGTAAATCCTAACCAGAGAAGAGCCAAAATGATGCAAGTGGTTGTAAGCTTTCTAAGAGATTGTTTTTCCCACAGTGTTGACACTCTAAATGTAAATAGCAGAACATTAGTTTATAAAACTTATTCCCCGCTACACAAATTTGGGGATGTCTGGGATTTTTTTGCTATTAATGATTGAGATTTTGTTTAAATTTATAACTTTCTGGGCGCATGTAGGCGTAAATATGTGGCAAAGTAAGCTTGTTCATCTTGCCTTGGTGCAAACTATATCAATTAAATGATTAATTCTAATCTAGTGGGGCTTACTTTTTCAGAACATATTCTAGAAATTTTGCTTAGAATGTTGAGTAATTCTTATAATTTTCTTTTTGACTAATCTCCTGAATAGCACTTGGATTAATAGATTTAAATTTGAATTTTAAATTTAAAAGTTTGTATTTTAAATCTCATATTCAAATTTCATGTATTTAAATTTTCTGTATGGATAATTTAAAAAATTTTAAAAGAGAGATAAATTAAAATTTAAAATGAAAATAAAAAATTAAAAATGGTGGATTTATTTATATTTTTTAATCAACAATAAATGAGAAAAAAATATGAGTCAATGGAGATATTAATAATGAATACATGAAGAGAATAAAATATTTAAAATTATTAAATTTTAAATGATTAGACTGTAAAGAAAATTTAAAATTATAAATAAATTATTATTTGATTTTAATTTGAATCAAATTCAAGTTCCTAAATTTGTGTACTCAAATGAGGGATTGTTTATATTTAAATTCATAAATTTTTGTGTATTCAAATGAAAAATTTAATTTAAATCTAAATTGGAGCACCCCATTACTTCATTTTTCATCTTTTTTAAAAAAAATATTTTGAAATTTCAATTGTTATCGTCAAGACATTTATGTAAAATATTTTATGAGATATATATGAAAAATATAAAAAATTTTAAATTAAGGCTTTTAACGATTTTTTTTTTTTTTCGGTGGGAACCATGAAGTATGGATTGGTAGGAGAATGATTGCTTTTATTTGTATAATCACTATTTGCACAGTCAGTTTCACCCTATATGGTGCTTGCCAGCCTATTCTGAGGATCTTACGTCAAGTTCATGCGCATTGATAGCAAAATGAGGGAGAAGTTCATGATGTTAATAGCATGATATCTGGATATAGGGGTATTTAAAATTGAATAAAACTGAACAACTCAATTTGATCCCGAAAAAAAAAAGGACAAAATCATTATAAATGAAGTTTGATTTGATTTTCATTTTTGATTAGATTTGTGGATTATAAATGAACCGAGAAAAAAATTGAATATGGTTAGCAGTGCTACTGTGTGAACAAAGGTGACCTAACATGGAAAAGGGAGGGTATTTACAAGTTAGATACTTCAAGGTGATACTGATATAGTAAGTTGACAAAAAAGAAAAATTATCCTTTATATACATATAAAAAAAATTAATTTCTTCAGACTACAATAAACAAAATTGAGGTATTATTTCAATGCATATTAATTGTTATGATATAGTACAGCATTATAAATTTTTAACTTACATTTTAGATCATAAAAAATAGCAACATTAAAAATAAGAATTCAAGCTTCCAAAAAGGCAAAAAAGAAAAAGAAAAAGGTGAAGGCAATTTCAGTGCAGAGGTGTCGGATGGTGCTCCACTTAGACTATTTACAACATTGAGGGGACCATGATGCACAATGCATGCATGACAATGATCTGCACTTTGCCTGAAACCAATTATTTCTATCATCAATTTTCAAATTGGATATCAGATTCGTTATGTTAAACTTCTGGGTACATAACAACAAAGTCAAATGTTCATATGCAGACAAGTCATGTCTATAATTTCACTCGCAGTCCTCTAGTCAAGTTCATGTGTTATTATGAAGATGGAGATAGCTCCTTTAAACAACTCGACAGAGACCAATCTAAGCTATGACCTCATTGGCTTAAATACAAACAATTAAGCATACTAAACATCATGCAAATACTGGCTCTCTTTAAAGACTGAACAAAGTGTCAAAAGTTTATCGGTTCTTAAAAACAGATCTTAACAAGTGCAGTGTTTCTTCGTAAGCAAGTTTGATTTGAAGTTAGAAACCACTAAAATCAATTGTTTTTTTGTTTTTTTTTAAAAGAATACTTCCATTAAAATTTAAAACTTTAGTTTTGATCATTTTCAATATGAAATCAAACATTAATAATTTTTCTTATTTCTATATAGAAGTCCACTTATTGAAGACAATCTAATTCAAAACACAATAAGACACTAATGTGAGCATGTCTCATTCTTAATTTCCAAAAAAAAAAAATTACACAAGTGCACATGTTACACGCAAACAGAACATGCTTGTGCAGTAAATCAATCTTCTAAGAGAACTTCTCTCCAAAAGCTACCTCACATTAATATCTCATACTCACGATGTGAGACTCAAATTCCATGCATGGTAACTGGGTAACAGGGTAGGGCCACCAGGCATAAAGAGGACAGATGCAAATGAGAAGAGACCCGTTGAATGATTAATCTCACACAGTAAATGGGGAAACAAAGTTGATAATAACAATTATACCATAATTTTAGAGGAGGTAAGAACTACAGTCATTCCTCAATCTCAACACAAAACAGTAGCAAAACAACAGAGTCAATGCCAAACAGCAACTAAGAGTACAATCATGAATGTACTTTCTTGTCTTACATGACCTGAATATGTAAAATGCCAACTGTCATTTATTGCTTTCCAAGATTTCTTCCCATGAGCAGGGAACAAGAAAGAAAGGAGACTGGAAGGAGTGCTATTCATAGAGGGTGACAGATAAATTTCGATTATTGCCACAGGAATACAGTCGAAGTTTCCAACCAAGATTTTTAAGGTGCAACTCCAAGTTTCTCAGCCTCCACCTTGAGAGACTTAAGGTATCTCACAGCTTCATCTAAAACAGTGACAGAATCCATTTGCTCACCGCCTCCAGGCACAATCCCTCTCAGTACCCTGATCATTCTCTTCATTTCCCAGTGCTTAATTTCAGGGTTGCTGCAGTGACCATGGGTCCTAGACGACTTTTGAACAGATGATGATGATCTCTTCTTTGATTTTGAGCCATAACTGGAGCAAGTGTCACAAATACTTTCATAATTTTCGTTAGTCCTTGCTGTGCTGACTTCTTCCTCATCACGGTCATCTAGCTCTTCTCCATCCAAGCTCAACAATGCATTGATGTCCTCAGAATCCTCTTCAAAAGGAGATGATAACTCTCCTTCCACAGGATTAACTTCGTTTTTCTCAGAGTCTCGATTATAGGTAGCATGAACATTCAAGCCAGGGCCACTAAATTTGTTGGCCATTGCAGGATGGAACAAAATTCTGCTCCGGTTATCAGTCTGATCAAAGATAATGAAATTCTTTGGGCAAACCTCAGAGGGTTGCAGTTCAACTCTTTCAAAGGGAGTTATCTGCCTAGCACCGGAAGGTAAAACTGCATCAAGAGGACTATGCAAATAAGTGTCAACTGCTTCATGCACCAAAGGGAGAACGAACTTCTCAGGGTAAATATACTCGTGATTCTGCATGGCAAAGTTCAGTTCCTGATCAGTAAGCTCCCAGCAAGTGATTCTGTCTTGGCCTTTGCAACTGGCAATTATTCTCTCTTAAAGCTGACGGAAGTTCCTAACGGAAGGAAAGGAAGAAAGTAGGCACTAAGCTGAATGCATTTTAACAAAAGATGGCTGCTTCCTCCAATCAACACTAATTATCTCTTCTGCAGCCTTCCAGTAGATGACGCCAACACAAGGAAAATACTCCCTAAACCAACGTCACTTGATTCTAGACTACGTAATAGGTTTTAGCAACTGACGGAAATACTCAGCCTGCAAAAGAAAAGGGTATGTGACATCAATATACAACAATAAAAAGGAGAAAAAAGTAGTCAAATTGTTGCAGAGACAACTAGTAAAACCAGTGCAGTTTATCTTAGGCAGGTTTGAGAATTGAACTTTAGTTTTCAAACTAACAGCAATTCAATTTACACAACCAGAAAACTTAAGCTCGACATGAAGTTATATATTTCAGAACCTTGTCCAAACACCACATGTTACTTTCTAAAGCCACTATAACAACGAGAGATATCCAAGCTCGCTTATCCTTCAAAGATTTCAAAATATGAAGTCTCTTCCTCACAACATACTTTTCCAGTCTTACACAAATTCTGTTATAAAAAATGTCATCTGCTACACAAACTTTGCAAAAATCCATCCCACCCGGAAACCCAATAAAAGGAAGTGGAAGAATTATTCACCTGGCAAACTTGCGTTAGTTGGTAGTGTGCAGCGAATCCAACATTCATTTTAATCTGCCCAACTTCTGTCACAGCTTGGATTCTCTTTGTTGTTATTGCAACGAACATTCTCAATCCTCCCCCACAATTTTAATAAAGAAAAAAACGCTAAGAAGATCTAATGAGACTTTGCCTACAGAAGAAAGAAACCATATAAGGATTCAGAGGTGATGAGAAAACAATACGCAACATAGGAAGAAGACATAAGGCTCCACGTAATGGGCAGACTGTATGAAACAAGCCTCCATTGTTTCATAAATTTTGTCCTAACAGGCCAAAGGATCCACAGAATGTTTCCATCAAATGGGAACAAGTTTTGTGATTCCAAATTTCAAACAATAGGCATAAAAAAATAGTTCTAAATATTCAAGGCCATAGAATCCACTCTGGTTAAGTTTACCTTTTGAATATATAATTGGAGACAAACCAAGTGATAAGCAAAACTAATGGTGAACATTACTACAGCAGCAAATAAGGGGGGCATACTTCTGACCTGAATTAATTAAATTACTGAATCACGTGAAAGAATACCACCAAGCTAACGCAGTTCCTATTGTAATCCACAAATAAGGATGTCCACGGCATCTTTGACCCAATCAGAATATCAGAATAAAAACCAAGCCTTTCTCCTGGAAGTAAACAGAAGGCTTGATCAAAATACAAAAACCACTACTACGGAGAACAAATAAATGAAATGTACTTCACACCCAATATTAGTTTCGAGAAAATGAAGTTTAAAAAAGAAGAAGAAGTACAATGATCATCTCAGAATAGAATCAGCAGGCATTATAAGTCAGAAAAACAAAGCCCTCCCCAACAAGTTAAACGCAATCTCGAACACAGCGCTCGTGATGTGAAATTCAAACCCCTTAATGTTAAACAATATCCTCACCCAGTATAGAGGCAAGTCCAAACATTTTGCTTATAAATTTGACCCGACACCATATCAGTTAACAAATTTCAGATTAAAAACCCTAGTCACCACTAAATGCTGCGACTTTCCCATACAGAAGATTAAGTCCTCTGAAAAACAAATTATGCAGGAAAAAACTTCGAAACAAGCTTTGATCTTCATAGCTTGAAAATTCCCAGCATGCAACAGTAACAACAATTGCTTTCAATGATTCATAAATTGGAACGAATTTTAATAAGCAACTGGGAAATAAACTGAGTCACAGACACAAACTTTCTGATGGTGAGGAAGATCAGGCAGAAACCCAAGCTAAGGAAAGATCAGATACACTTAAATTCCACAAGATTTTTTACTGAAAGAAGACGCTCTAGAGAGAGAAAGGAAAGCAACACAGAGTGAGAGAGAAGTTCATGCCGATGCAAATAACTTTTTTCATGGTGGTTATAGGGATGCGTGCTGCCAGATTAAGACAGACACAGAGAGAGAGAGAGAGAGAGAGAGAGAGAGAGGAGTCAAAGCCGGTCGATGTGAACCGTTGGATGGGATAAGGGTACATCTCTGCAAATGCCCTTCCGTGTATCGCGGGTGTGATGGTGACCGTTGGATGAGAGCACGCGTGATGGAGGAGTGGGGACCACTGGGTTTGACGAACGGGTACCAAGAAAATAGGCTCATGCGAACTTAGTTTAATTATTGGCCCTCGTTCATTTCTAAAAACTCTACTTTATGCTTCGAAACTATAGATTCCATCCACACTAATTGAAATAATTAGATTGAGTTCATGTCATACTTTAATAATTTTTTAAAAATATTTTAAACTAATTTTATATAGTATTTCTTTCATCTCAAATTATGGGATATTTTTAAAAGAGATGTGTTATCTTAAAATATAAAACATCTTAAAAAAATTAAAATTTTATTAAATAAATTTAGTTTAATATTATCTTTTTTTCTCTTTCTATTTAATATCAATTAAGTATATATTTAAGATTATTAAATGAAACATATTTTTAAAATTTTATATTTTTATTTTAAAAATAATAACATTATTAAGTATATTTAATAAGATTTATTAATATGTGAAATTTTATTTAAAAATATTTTATAATTTAAAATAGAGGGAATAAGTTATAAAAGTTTTAATATATAAATTTGTAATGAATATCTAAGCTGTGGATTGTGACTTTGTAAGATTGGCCAAAAAACTCGTGATGTTGTAAGAGTTGTGTTTCTAGGGAGATAGACTTCCCTTCTTTGTTTTGGTCAATGAATATAATTAGATGGTTTGGAGTCACAATACAATACTTTGACTTTGATGGCACGCGGAGCATGCTCAACTTTTTTTAACAAACAAAAATTAGGAGTTAAATTTTTATTGATATTTAATGTTGGGGGTGTGAAATATGGGTTAACTTGACAGTGAAAAACTCTTACGGCAATTGTAATTGAATTGAAAAGGAGATATATACATGAAAATTATTTTTTAAAATTAAAATCTTTTTATTTTTATTAAAATGTAATATCATACTTATTTATATATTCTCTTACAATCGTTAGGTCATCTCAATGTAAAAATGATGAAAAAAGCTTCAAAAGCTCGCAAGTGTTACTTTTAAGTAGAAAATATATTATTTAAGTTACCATGTAGTATCTTATTTATTCATACATATTCTTTTTAGCAAGCATTGTGAAATTTAAATGAGGAGTAAGTCTGCTAACATGATTTTTCAAAAAAACAAATTCACAAAGTTCAAACATTTAATTTTCCTTAACTGTGTCATTGTGGTTGTCTGATTGATTCAATTACCATTAGTTTAAATTTAATTTAAAACCTATAGAGGATGTTGCCTTGTTTTAAACCCCACTTATTAGCTTTTGATTTTGTCTTTTTTGTTGGTAATTTAATATTTTATATTATTTTGTTTTTAAAATTTGAGTTTAATACACACTAAAAATGATTCTAATAAAAGTTTTACATATAATTTAGCTATAAAATCTGATAGCAATGTAGACTGTGCATTATTATTATTTTTAACTGATTTCTGTAATATAGTTCCTTATGGATCTAATGAGCAATATGGCTCTATAAAATGAGGCGAAGTGACACGTTTAATAAGTAAAATTTTTAACACCAAAATGACATCATTATACACCTCACTGTGATGTCACTTTTCATAGTATTTAATAAATAACAAATCATATATTCCTTTTATTTTAAAATATAAAATATTTTTTACGAAGTTAAATATTAAAAAATATAAGATATGTTTAGTCTTTTGATGTATAATTATTATCTTTTTATAAAAGTGTTCCTATTAATAATGACTTTATATTTATTGTAAGGTGTTTAATAGGTATAAATATGAAAAGATATGATTAATTGAAAAATAAATAATTATTTTATTAAAAAGTGAGATTCAATTAAAAAAATATATTTTTTATAGAGGGAGTAACAAATTCAGTTTGGCATGAGAGATTGATATTGAGATTCTCATTTCTCTGACAGGTAATTAAAAGATTTATCTTATAACTCCTTTGTATGGAGCAAAAACCTAACTTAAAAAAGGAAAGGGGATCTACTTTTTATATTTTATATCCTGAAAATATTGGTCTCTATTATTGATAGAATTATTTTCAAACCCACAAAAATAACTATATATATCATTATTAATTATGAGATAAAAGCAATATAGCGCACTTCAAAATTGTGTGCAACACATCTATGATATATCTTAACTTCAACTTTGTTCTTGTTTTGGCCGGAAAAAAATTTCTTCTTGTTTCATTTAATATGATTGAGGAGCTTTTATTTAAAAATAAATGGAACGCTGCTGAGCTCCTAACTCTAGGATATTTTGGTTATTTTATTTTATTCTTATTTATGGTTTTGAAATATCTTCTTCACCAAACATCCAACAAGAATATTTTTCTAAATTATTTTTCATTTCATATATATATAGATATATATCAAATACTATAAGTTTATGATATAATATTCAATTTCATTATTATCTCATTTTCTATTATTTTAAGATTGGGAGAATTTTATTTTAGAATCAATGTAAGTGCATATTTTCCAATGATATTCAAATATTTTTGAAATAACATTGCAGGTTTTGAAGACCAACACCAAATTAAGTTTTACAGGTAAAATGACAGTATTACCACTAGTTTTTAAACAAAAGAAAATAGCATATGAGAGAAGCCATGTTTGCAAGTAACATTATGAAATTGACAAACAACCATAAGGCAATTTATAAGTAATGTTAGACATTTTATAAGTGATATTAGTAATTTAATAAGTTATAGATGATTTTACACAGGATGAATATTGCACAAGTAATATTCTAATCTTAACAAATAATGTAAAGATATTTATAAATGAGATTTCACAATTTACAAGTACAATTAAGAGAATTTACATTAAATTGAAGACAAGTGCATCATCAAACTTTACAAAACATTTTACTTGTGTAGTTAGTAATTTAACAAGTCATGTATGAATTTATACATGCTAGATATTTGACAACTAACATTGCAAACTTGACAGGCAACACAAGGTAATTTAATTTACAATATTAAATGTTCTATAAGTGACATTTGTAAGTTCACAAGTCATGAACAAATTTACACAGGATGAATATTTCACAAGTAATATTTCAATTTTAGCAAGTAATGTGAGAAAATTTACATTAACTTGAAGACGAGAACACTTTCAAACTTTACAAAATATTTGATGTTGATATTTGTGATAGTACGTAAAAATGCACCATAATGAAATCAAGCCGCTTCAGTTAAATGTATAAAAGAACTTATATATTTGACACATTTAGAAGACTATAACCCATCACAATATATATATATATATATATATGAATTGTGTATATGTACATATGAGTTGTTTCCCCAATCAACTAGGAAATTTAAATTGGGTTGTATTCATATACAAGATAAAGAGCGCCTATGCTTTATTGCACTGTAGGTATAGGCGAACTCTGTATAAATGAGGGTGGTGGTTCACTTTGAATAGAAGTAGGTAGATTTAAACTTTTTATATCCAAATCCCATAATGATGTAGAGAGTGAGCTTTTATCCAAAAGTGTTTGATATATCCCACAATCAACAAGTTATATTAATTGACTAATTAACAAATCATATCAAGAATTCAACAAGTTGTGCCAAGAATTTTACAATTAGGAGTAAATATTAAATAAATTATAATAACTGTTATGACTTGCACTCGTTAGCCGTTAAAATGTAATGGTTGTCTAAACTATTTTGTATTCTTACACTTGTCATCCCTTATATTATCAATTTCTCACTTATAATTCCACCATCATATATACCTCATTGGGCACACATGACTTCTTTTCAATCAATTAAAAATGAAGCATATAGTGTACAGAATGCGAGTGTTTAATTACTAACAGAGAGGTAGACCTTTTAGGCCAAAAAACTTATTAGCAGAGATAGAGAAATCACATAAAAGAAAAAAGCACAACAAAGAAGGGGAAAATAAGAGAAAACGATTACTGGAAAAAAAGAATGAGCTTACAAAATTCCTTTGCACATTACCCTTTGAGACCTTCATACAAAAATCAGTAATGGAGGAGCAACTTTAAGACCTTCGATGATATACTCAAAACATGTTCAACCATTGAAACAAATGCGCAGAGGAGGTGCCTTTGATTTCAATTGAAGGGTGCATTTGACTTTACTCAGAAATTAAAGTGGAGTAATCAAACAGCTTTCAAGTTTTCAAATGGGGTCTAACCATGAGAGAAGGTAATGGCTGGGATGTTGGATTCATTCTTTAGTGGATAGCTATTTTCATTTTACATTTAGGGGCAACTAGGTAATTTCATAACAATAATTAATTTCGTTTGGTCTTTTGGTAAAATTATCTTGTTTCAAGCAGTCCCATAGTGAAATTCTCCATTTTAAGATTCCTTTTACTCTACCCAATTCAATGTTAAAATTAAAGTACATTGTCTACAAGAAAAATTAATTATTTAGTCTCTGTAATTTTGTGTTAGTTGTAATTTAATCTTTGAACTTCAACTCATTGTATATATAATTCATTCATTATTATTTTAACTCGGTTGTAATTCAATTTTTGAACTTTGTCTTTTGCAACTTAGTTTCTATTGTTTGAACTATTTAAATATTGTTCCCTAAATTTTAAACAATAAAATTATAAACATTAAAAATATTTTAAACTTTTAATATTTATAACATTTATAACGATTAAAAAGGTTTATCAATTTAAAATATTAGTAATAAATTTTAACATAATTTTAATTTTTATAATTTTACTTTTTTAAGATATATGGATAAATGTTTAGATGATTAAAAATATAAAGATTAAGTTACAGCAGTCAAAATTTAGGAATTCATTTACCATCGAGTTAAAATACTGAATTATAACAAGTCTAAATTTAAAAATGAGTTACAATTAAATCAAAATTATAAAGAATAAATGATCAATTTTTCCTTATCTATAAAAAAAAGAGCAGTGTGAATGCTGTAAAACATCTTTCTCTTGTGAAAAGGTACAAGAAGATTAGGTATACTAATTAACAGAGACTCAATCCAGCTAATTGCTATATATGAATTCAAAGGACAAGCAAATTCTATATTGCAACAATTACTTAACTAATTTCCATGTGTCAAGAGATCTCTCTATAATAATCTGGACAAGTTTGAAAAGATTTTAACCATCCATAAATAGAGAGCTCTCCTGCAATTTTCTCAACATTTTCCCTTTGTTTGGATGAGGGGGGAAAATAGAAAAGAAAAAAAATTAGGAAGGAATTTTACTTAAAAAAATAGTTAAAAATTATTATTTTTAAACATTTCTCTTCCTAATTTTTTTCCCTCCATATTTTCGTCTCACTTCCCTCCATCCAAACTATATGGGAGGCTTTTCTTCTAGTCATAAAACGTGTTTTTATTTCATGAAGAGAAACCAGATTTCAAGTGTGCCAAAAATTTGAAATAGAAATTAAATGATTATCTATGTACATCAACTGCATATAAATATTGATTCTTCTTTCTTTTCCCCCCTAAAAAATATAATAAGCATGGTTTTACACGATTCTAGTTTTAAGGTTAGTGCTTAGGGCTGACTATTTAAGAGAAGCAAGGGACAAAGCTTTTGTGAACTCAGGTAGTGGGTTATGAGTCACTAGCTTGAAAGTCACTTTATGTCTCATAAAATTAATTAATAGCATAATAATTCTCTCTTGCTTTTTCTTTGACAAATGGATGAGCCAATTAACGATAAAACGTATATATATAAAGCCTTTTCATGCTTAATGTCCCATAAAACGCCAATTTTTAATGATCGAGTGGAAGAATAATTCCCCACGTCTTCTGATTTTTTTTCCCCAAAAACATATCCAATCCAGAAATATTCCTAATAGAATCTCTCTCCGAGTCAGAAAACTCATTTTGTTAGCTGTATTTACTCCACCACAATTTTCGAGAATATCTATATTTTATATATTGACCCATCAATTAACGACATACATACATACATATATACACACATACATACATACATACATACATATATATATATATATATATTGATATTGATTATTTAAGAAAAAGGACTGTCACCATTTAAATTTAAGACCATGTGAATAAAGAAAATGCTTCTGAAAGAGTTATTTTCAATTAAACCAAGTAATATTTAAATTTAAAACAATAGCTTTATATATTGTATAAGTTAACTATATAAAAATATACTTTTCTAAGTATGAAATTTAATATTTGTAAGTGCAGTCCATAAACCATAATAATTCCATAGGTAGTGATCAAATGGACTCACTGGTTTGTTATTAACAATCATTTATAACTAATTCATAGGAGTCAAGAAAAATTAGTTACATAATTGAAATTGTTTGCAAATTACTCTGTTTTTTTACCCCTAATAAATACCATAAATTTAAAAAATAAAAATTATTTATCTTTTCAATGAAAATTGAGAAGAACGGCATATTTAAAGTTAAGCAATTGATGCTAAAGCAACTCTTTTAAAAGAGTTTTATCCGTGACCATAAAATTTTTCTAGAAAATGATTTATATATAGAATTGGAAGTATATTATTATTGTTGTTGTTGTTGTTGTTGTTATTATTATTGTTATTTGATAACATTAACACTTATTGTGTCATCATTAATTGATTTTACTCGCAAATAAAAAATTAATAGAAGATTAATTTAATAAGATAGATATCTCTAATTATGTACAATAAATGTTTTATTGAAGAGTATTCGTTCCCTTCATGGACAAACATAAGGCTGTTTAGTTTTTGTTCTCATTTTTATTTTTAAAAATTATTGTAATACAGATTTTAGAATTGTTTTTTAAAACAACATAAAATGAAAATCTTTTTTGATTATGTTAATCTAAAAGCAGTTTTAGAATTAAAAAAATAAGTTAATAATGATGGTTGCAGATGAGCAATGATGTTGATTTATTATATAAATTTGTCTCGATAACTGTAATTTCTAATGATCAAATGTAATATATTTTAAAACTTAAAAGAATGAAAATAATTTAAAGTTGTTTCTATTTTTTATTTTTAAAAAAATAAAAATAAATTTGGAAGTAATTAAATCCAACATGTTTGTTCAAATAAGTTTTTAAATTTTTAATTTTTTAAAAAATAGTTTTAAAAGATAGAAAACAAATTGCCCAGGGTACCCAATTTTTTTAAGTCATTATCCCCTTTTTATAATACCTTGTTTAATATTCTAAGATGTTTAGAATACCTTTATACACATAACTCTATTTAGTGATTTTTTCCAATCTCCAATAAATTATCTTATCATTAAAATAGAAGGAAAAACATTTAATTAAGGATAAAATTAAAAAAAAATATTTAGCTATAAGCCACTCTCTTAACTTGATATTAGGGGTGAAATTAAGTGAGGCCCCTATCAGAGGCCTACACTCTGGCTTATTTACTATTTTAGGTCCAATTTAGCTTGTTTATTAAATAGACTTAGATCAAGTTTAGGCTTTTAATTATGCTCATTTAGTTAAATAAGTCAGGTCTAACCTACGAGTTCAACAAGCCTGCCTATTTACATATGCATTATGTAATATATTACACACACATTGGTTTCACAATTTAATTCTTAATCAATCTATTTTTTTTATAATTTTTAGTTATATTTTCAATCAGATTGAATTTATATATTAATTTTAATGCTATTATTTTATCATTGTATTGTATTATATTTGGTAAGTTGATTTTAATGCTATTATTTTATCATTATATTGTATTATATTTGGTAAATTCTTTTAATTATTATATATTATAATTGATAAATTAAATTATATATTTATAATAATAGTTCTAAAGTATATTTAAAATTAAAATGCAAGTTTATTTAAAAGCTTTCTTTTAAATAAGCTTTCAAGTCAAACCAAACTTTAGGTACATTTAAATCTCTAACTTATCACACAAATTCAGATCTATTTAATCAAAACTTAATTTAACACATCTTATTTTCACCCCTACTTAAATATCCGTGATCTTAATAATTGAGTATTATTTTTAGGGAGGGAGGGTGAATACATGACATGTCTTGTGTATTTATTAGTCCTTTAGATCAAAATGCTTCATGATACAATTGCGAATTTTTGATGCTGCCTGACCAGTGACAGCGTAAAAGCAGGGATCAAAATCTAAATTCAAAAAAAAGTACAATAGCATGTTCCTATATTTTATTGATGTTGTGTTTTTAATTTCTATAATTTTATTTTGTTATTTCAAATCCTTTTAATTTGATTCATATGCAAAGTTAGTTTCTATAGTTTTAAAGATATACATAAGAATCATAAGCCAGCAGTGATCACAAGATTAATTTCTTTAACGTGTACTTGACTTTGTTAACTTCTTGTTGATATATATTTAATTTCCTATTCATCTTTTATGTCATGTTGAAGTCAAATGTAATAAAAAGCCTTTCTCCTCTTACCTTTTAGTTTTAATCATACATAATTAATTTATGTGTATGTTAGATATTTTTACCATCTCAACAAAAAGATTAGTACTTAATATAATTATATTAAAATTAGTTTTGTTGGTGCCAGTTTATGGTTTGTGTGTGTATTTTTAAAATTATAAGAATTAACGTTGTAAATAATCAAACTGAAAAAATTGAGAACAATAAAATAAAATTATAAAGACTAAAAACAAAACACAATTAAAGTACATAATCTAAATATATTTTTTCAAGAAGAAGCCCATTCTATTCTTTTCTTTTCTTTTCTTTTTTTGGAGTTTTGGCTCAGCCATGATAACTTGCAATGTGATCCCACGTGTGTCATCACATTGGTATTAATAAACTATGAAGCATAAATATTGTATAAATGGAATCATTTATTATATTTGATATTTATCTAATTGCACTTTTATTAGTTACACGCAATTACATGTAAACAATGATGAATGATGATCCTGCGCATGAAATAAAATGCATGTTGTCAAAAATAGCACTAAAAACCATAGAGAAAATATGGAGCTCCTTCTTTTTTCACCAGGACTTGAAAAAAGATATTATTAGGCCCCATAGATTTTAATATTAAAATAGGCAATTTTGTTTTTATTGAGGCAATTTTGTCTTTTTGATTGATTTTTCTATTTCATTCCATCTCTCTGTTTTTTTTTTCCCGTGTTTTCCATGACATAAAAAATATAAGGTTCACAATATAAGTCATATTTTTAAAAAAAATCTTACACGTATCCAGAAAAGAAAGTAAAAAAATTGAACAACTTGTTAAGTAAATTTACATTCCTTCCACCATTTTTCAAAATCAAGAATAAAATAGAAAGAGCGTCATTAACGTCATTAAAAAAAATAGCATCACTAATATACCTAAACATTAATTGTATTTTAAATCGAAGGAGAGTGTGTATATGTATATATTTATTTTTTCATTCTATCATGTTCATATATTATTATGCAATTTAATAGCTAAATGGGCCTCACGTTTTTGTGTCGAGGCCTTTTTTTTGGTAGACTGTGGATTTTGTACTTGGTTGTATGTTTAGAGCTTAACCCATTGAATTATCAAGGCCCAATCCAATTTCTTTCCCATCAATATATATATATATATATATAAATCACTACCCATTTCATTCGTCGACGCGCGCATCATTTACTGCTTTGTTTATAATTTTTACCGGGGGGGAAAAACAGCTTTGTTTATAGAGATGTCTTCTTCGTTCGATCGTCTTCGGTTCATGTTAGCTCGACACACTCACACTCCTTTCAGTTGCTACGATCGACTGGTAACAGCCCGTCGCACTCTCAAAATCTATGTCTTGTTTTTTTTTTTCAAAAAAAAAAATCCCCAAATTTTTTAAGTATTTAGGAGAATTAATTTGAAATCTTTTCACGGTAATCAAAAGCCAAAGCTTATAATCTCCTCAGCAGGTAAAGACGAGAGACCGGAGCTTGGTAGAAGGTTGCTGAAAGTTGATCGTTGACCCTAAAAATCGCTATTACATGGATGCGACCGTTGCTTTAATGCTTATAGAAGCTTCAATGATCGTACTGGGTTTATTAATTTCTAAAGCTATAAGATTCATCTCTCCCTCAGTTCATGACTGCGGGTAATTTCTTCTGAATAACCCCATCGTTCTTCAAATTAATTTCCTGCCAACCCAATATTGATGGATTGTTTGTTTCTATATATAGTTGTAAAGATGCTGCCGCTTCAATTTCAACGGTTTCTTCCCCTTCTCATACTAGGGTAGCTTCTCCTGCTACCAAGTATGATGTATTCCTTAGCTTTAGAGGGGAAGACACTCGTGACAATTTCACAAGTTATCTCTATGGAGCACTTTGCAATGCAAACATTCATACTTTTATGGATCACAAACTTGACAAAGGAGATCAGATTTCACCAATTCTCTTGAGAACAATAAAGGAATCCAAGATATCTGTGATTATTTTCTCGGAAGATTATGCTTCCTCAACGTGGTGTATGGATGAGCTTATTCACATATTGGAATGTAAGGATAAATATGGAAGGATTGTAGTGCCGATTTTCTACAAGGTAGATCCATCAAATATACGGAAACAAAGTGGGAGTTTTGGAGATGGATTTGCTAAACTTGAGCAAAGATTTAAAGACAACCAAGTTAGATTGCAGAAGTGGAGGGAAGCTTTGATCCAATCAACAAGTCAGTCTGGATGGGATTCAAAGAATATCAGGTAGCTTTATAAATGTTTCCTTCTAGTCATTGCTTTTAGATATATTCATTTTAATTTCTATGATTCAACCGATATGTCATAGCTGTATTTTTCCTATGCTTATTAAATATACGTTCCTTTTCTTTTAATTTGCATTCGTCCTAGGCCTGAACCCAAACTTATTAAGAAGATTGTCAAAGACATCTTGGGCAAGTTGAAACATAAGTCATTGGGTCATTTTGAGGGACTAGTTGGGATTGATCATCATATTGAAAATATTGAAGAACTTTTATCCAAGGCTCGCATTGTGGGAATATGGGGCATGGCTGGTGCAGGCAAGACGACACTTGCTAAAGCTCTTTTTCAAAAGTTGAGAGCAAAATTTGAAGCTTCCTCCTTTGTTGAAAATGTAAGAGAACGAGCCAAGATTGGATTGGACAAGTTACAAAGAAAATGTGTTAAAGAATTATTGAAGGACAAAGAGATTGACACATATGACATAAAATCGTCTTTTGTGAAGAGTAGACTACAACGCAAAAAAATTCTTTTGATACTTGATGATGTGGACAACTCAATAATGGCTGAAGATTTGACAAAGGTGTGTGATTGGTTTGGGAATGGAAGTAGAATTATTATCACATCAAGAGACATGCAAGTGCTTAAAAATGCTTCTGCATCTAATGCTTATCATATTCCACCAATGAATTTCCATGATGCCTTTCATCTCTTCAGTTTGAAAGCGTTCAAGCAAAATGAGCCATTCAAAACTTATGCAAACTTATCAAAATCAGTAGTGGATTATTGTCAAGGAAATCCATTAGCCTTGGTAGTGCTGGGCTGCTTTCTTCATGGCCGAGGAAAAAAAGAGTGGGAAAGTACTCTGGAAAAATTAAAAGAAGCTCTACATGAGGACATTTTTAATGTTCTGAAATTGAGTTTTGATGGACTTGGTAGCAAACAGAGGCATGTGTTTCTTGACCTAGCATTTTTCTTGAGTGAAGCATGGAACAAGATTTCTGTAGAGGATTGCACAAGACATTTATATGGTTCTTCTGTACATATTGACATATGTGTTCTTAGAGAAAGATCCCTCATTTCAATTGATGATAAAGGTTATATTGAGATGCATGCTCTTGTGAAGGAGATGGGCCTTGAAATTTCTGCACAACAATTAATGACTAACGCTAAAAGACCAGTACGACTGTGGAGGCACGAGGATATTTATAATTTTTTCATCAATAACAAGGTAATGATTCATTTTTATTTTGTCTTATTTTCTTTATGTTTTTAATTGCACTTTTTATTTATTTTTCTAGTGATCTGTATTTACCTAAAACATATTTTATTATCCATTGGAATCCTCGGTAAGCCTCAATATTTTTATCTTAAAGTTCTTTGGTGTTATTTTTATGTTTTAGACCTTTTTAAATTAGATTTCTCCTAGGAGAAAACCTTCCATTATTTACATGAGTAAAATTGCTGAGAACAGAGCATTTTCAATGAGCGAAATTATCTACAGAGTTGATTTTTATCTTACTAATAATTGATGTAGTATAATTGGGTGTGTTGTAAAGAAGCACAAATTATTTGAAACATATACATATGTTTGTGTGGGTCAGTGTGAACGTGGCATGTGTGCATTTTTGTCCAATTTATTTGTTATAAAATAAAATTGGAAGAATATTTGGACAAAGTTCACAATGCAATAGGATTCCTCATTTAGATTTGTCTTAAAGCAATATATTTAATTATTCCATGGTGTTTTTGGTTATTTTGTACATAATAATGCTAATTGTTTTTTCCTTGATGATTTGCTTGCTAGGGGACTGAGGCAATTCAATGCATATCTTTAGATGTTAGTAAGATAAAGAGAATTACATTGAAGGCTAGTAATTTTCAAAAGATGTATAATTTAATATTTCTTAAATTGTACAAATCTGAAGAAAAGCCTTCAAAAGTGAATATTCTAGGGGATCTGGATAATCTTCCAGAAGGATTGAAATTCTTCTGTTGGGAAGAATGTCCTCTACCATCTGTGCCATTAAGCATCTGTGCGGAGAATCTTGTTCATCTTAAATTACCTAACAGTAATCTTAGACAACTTTGGGATGGAGATCAAGTAAGTGCTTATGTCTATTTTTTTTTCTTTTTACTTTATTTTTGTGATTTTAAGAACCTTTCTAAACTTATAGATATCTCATGCACTGAACATTGAACAAATAATTCATACTGCACCAAAGTTTGCTTAGTTGTTGTGGCAAGTCGAAGACAGGAATTTTTTGTGAAAATATTTTTAAAATGAAAAGAGGTGTATCTTATATGGTTATACTCTTGTTATTAAGGTACTTCTATGAAAACGTAGAGAGTAGAACATAAGTCACTTAGGTCAGAAGAACCTTGTAACACCTAAAAACATCTGTAGAAGAATATGCAACCTAAAGGTGCTTGGTAGAAAGAAAAATTAGTTCGTGAAAACCTTACATGTTTGGAAGGGTGTTATACTTCATGAAAATATTTTTAATAACTTTATAAAAAGGTGGTGTTGGTTCATGAAACACCTTGAATTGTATCATTGCAGGAAACACACTTTTTTGTCTGTAAATGGCCTTCACCACCACTTCATTCTACACACAAATTCATTGCATTCATATATCTTTGAGTGCATAAAGTAAAAACAAATTATTATTTTGTAGAAATGATTGTTGTTTACTTGAGTTTTGAGAATGCAAAGCACACTGAAGGTCTTCATTGTATTCTAAAAGAAATTCATCTTCAACCTAATTATTTGCACATGAAGTTTGGAATAGGTGGGAGGAATTAAGCATAAAGCACAATGATTCTAACACTATGCGCAACTTTTTTCCTTGTCTTTTTTTTCCCTGACACTTCAAAGAACCATTGCCACCAACAACTGCTTTATACTAGTAGTTTTAGATGCATTAACTTGTTTCCTTTGCAATCTCTTGTTTTTCTTTGCTGTTGGATAAGTTCATAATTAAATTATTTAGCTATATAATTTATTTATTCAACATTGCCTTTTTTTTTTTTTCAGCATTTTCCAAACTTACAGTCGATTGATCTAAGAGAATCAAAACACCTGACTGGACTCCCAGATCTTTCTCAGGCCCCAAATCTTGAAAGGATAAGTGCAAGTGATTGTTCAAATTTGGGTCAAATTCATTCTTCAGTTGCCTTGGGAAAGCTTGCCAATGTATTTCTCCAATTTTGCGGTGTGCCAACGCATGTAAACATCGGTGGGACTATCAAAGGGACAAGTTCTGGGTTTGTAGCTGCCTACAACTATTTGGATCTTCGCCACTATTCATTCAATGCAGTCAAAGTGAAGCTCTTCATATCTGATGATGGCAGTATCATCTCTGGTCTTCGATTCAAGCACGTAGCAGTGCCATTCGTGAAGAAATCAAAGAGGGACAACTCTATTGGGATAATGATAGATCAAATGCACTGTACACAAAGATTGGCCTCTCTGCTTCCATTTGTGAATAAAGTTTATTGGTCAGATGGTCCGATTGATTTTGGGAATTTCAAGCAACATTTTAACCATGTGCATGCTAATGTAGCGTGCTTTCCTGCTGAGAAAAGTAAAATGGATGTGAAGAGAGTGACTGTGAGACGGAAAGCACAAGGTGGCATGGTCATGCCTTTGAGAAGAGAAGTGGCTAGTGGTAATGAAGAGAAGGAGTTAATAGGAGAGGTGCGATGTTGTAGCAACAGCAATACACTAACAGCATTGATGAGAAATCAAGTGGTTCATGATTATGAAGATCAAGAGGATGAGTTAACGGGAGAAGTGGAACTTTGCGGTGACAGGAGTGATAATAATACATTAGAAAGAGTACTGGTTCCTAAGAACATTACTCGATGGTCTTTATTGTCCAAATTGACATTGAGGAAGAGGGATATTATTGGGAATGAAGCTTGGAGGAGCGTCCCAGAACTGTCGATTCTGAAAGCACTTGCACAATCTGGTTGTTGCAGAATGTTTGAACCTATGATAGATCTGACGCTCTCTTTGGATGCTCCAGAGAGCCGTTGGTGTGCCCGTAAATTTGCCGTCTATCATTCCCCAGAATGGATTAGAGGCAAGTATGAGTTTGTATCTGGTGTGGCAATCCGTATTCTTGAGAGTAGTGTTGTTTTAGTGTTTTGGGATTATGCTATGCACTTATAAGTAGCATTTCACAGATTTCATCGTATTATGTTTTTTTTAAAAAAAAAATTACAGGCCCTTATTTATATACCACCGTCGCGCGCAGCTACTATCTAGCCGGAAACAACTTGGTTGATATCATGAATTCAGTATTAGAATTGAGATGGCGTGTATTTTCATTAAGGACTGTTTATTTGTTCACTGATCAGTTAGCCTTGTTCCTGGCAGAACACAACTCATGCCTTGAGAAATGCTGTAACTTGGGGGAAAAAAAAAAACTGGAAAGAGTCAATTTTTACAAGATGCCAACGTTCAATTTTTGAGATTTTAACGGCCAAAATTTTCTCTCAGTTTTGCCAAATGTGATTACGCTGGTGGCCTAAACTTTCTTTCAACAATGTTTATATGGTTAGGCTATCAAAATATTTGAATAGGCTCTTGTGTATGCACATAAATGAATTAAAATCTATGTTACAAAAATCTGATCAATTCAATGAGTATGCAAGTAATGCATATGCATTTGGGCGTTTATTTTACTACTCATACCATTAGGTCAGAGACTATATGTTAGGCTTAGGAATTATCTTTGGAGCAAAATTGATCATAGTAGCTTACTCAAATGGCCCGAATTAGACGCCAATGGGGAGAACTTTTTTAGTGTCCAAAACTTTTTCAAAACCAATAAAAACATTTGTATTAATCTAAAATTAATATAACTATAACAATAATATTTCAATTATTATTTCACATGCATCTAGTGAATGATAATTTGAAAAGTATATGAGTTTAGAAGTGATGCTAGTAACACTAATATTAAGGGTAAAATGATAATTTGGCCCTTAAATTATAGACCCAAGAGCATTTGGGATCTTGAGTTTGTTTTTGGTATGTTTTCACTTTTAAATATTTAAAATCTTAACAATCTCCTTAGCTGTGAACTTTGACATATAATTAACTAAAAAATTATAAAAAGAACCCAAACAATTATAGAAAGTGACTAAAAGAATCAAAAAATTACAGAAAACAATAGAGAAAAAAAATTATAATCGAAGCATGGATCACATGGTACACTTAATTAGTTGAATACGTGTCCTATCTTGTGTATTTATAACTCCCTCGGTTTAAAAATATAAGTCATTTTTTGAAGAGTTGAATATTCAAAAATATAAAGTATTTTTAATTTTTTGAGATGTAATCATTGCTTTTTTTTCTAAAAGTATTCATATTAAATAAATTATTTTATTTATTTTAAGATGTTTAATAAGGATAAATATAAAAAGATAGGGTTAGTTTAAAAATAAGTAACTACTTTATTAATTGTGAGATTTAATTAAAAATATCTTTATTTTTTGAATGGATGAAGTATACTTTTAGACCAAAATGCTTCATGATAATGTTGTGATTCTCCTTGACTAGTGACCACGTAAAAGCAAGCTAATATATTAAAAAATATATAATATCTAGTTGTGTATTTTAATTTTTATAATTTTATTTCATTATTTCAAGTCTCTTTAGTTTAACTCATCTACAATGTTAGTTTTTATAATTTTTAAAAAAGGCACATTAAAATCATGAGTTGGCAGTGATAGAGTTAATTTTGCTTACGTGTATGTAATTTTATTAATTTTGTTGCTGTCATATTCTTATTCTCTCATTTATCTCTCACATTTTGTTTAAGTCAAATATAACAGAAAGTTTTTCGTCCTTACCTTTTATTGTTAATCGCGTTTAATTGATTTATCTATACGTTTGCATATTTGTATCACGTTAACAAGGGGTTAGTACTTAACATAGTTATATTGAAATTAGTTTTGTTGGTGCTTGTTTATGGTCTTTATATGTGTTTTTAAAATTATAAAAACTAACTATAAAGATTAAAAATAAAACTCAGTTTTTAAAAAAAAAAGGTAAAACTCAATCAAAGCAAGGGAACTTGTCATTTTTTTTTTTTTAAGAAGAAGCCAATTCTGTTGTTGTTGTTTTGTTTTTTTGTTTTTGGCCTCCGCATGATCACTTACAATATGATACCACGTTATCATTACTCCTTACAGCCATGGCAGGAGATTATTGTAACTAAGAAACTATGGAAGAATTAATATTTTATAAATGGAATCATTTATTATATTCTATACTTGTTTAATTAAATGGCTCATCGTCTTAATGATAACACTACATTTCTTATTTAAAAAAGATTGTGGGTTCAAATTTAGTATTGGCAGGTTTGGGTGGGTGTTTCTTTCTGTTTTTTCCTTTTTTAAAAAATACATTTTAATTAGTTGCATGCATGAAACAAAATGCATGTTGTCAAAAATAGCTCCCAAGCACATAGAGCAATTATGGAACTTCTTCTTCCTTAACTTGGACTCGAAGAAGACATGAGGGCAATTTCATCTTTTTAATTAATTTTTCTATTTCATTCCATCTCTGTTTTTCCAGCGCTTTCCATGACATATCAAATATATCGTCTTTCTTTTAAGTTACAACGTGAGTCATATTTCAAAAAATCTTACACATATCAAGAAAAGAAAGTAAAAAAATTTTATAACTTACTAAAATGTTGAAAAAAAAATCACATTCCTTCCACCATTTTGCCATTAAAATCAAGGATAAAATAGAAAAAGCGTCTTTAATTAATATACCTAAACATTTATTGTATTTTTTAATAAAAAATTGCTTTTATTTTTTTTTAATCAAAGGAGTATATTTTTTCATTTATTATGTTAATATATTATGCACTTTACTAACTAAATGGGCCTTACCTTTTTGTGTTGCGTTTTTTTTGGGTATATTATGTGTGTGTTTGGATATGGTTTAGAATTCATTTTTTGGGTAAAAAATTTGATTCTCCACAAAATTATCCAAATACCCACATTTTTTCCTCAAAAATTAATTTTTTCTGCAAGCTGATAATCGGAGCCGTTGTGGAAAAGTTTGCCGACAAACTTGGGAAAAATTATAGAGAAAGGCCTAAGAAAAAATTGTGAAAAAAGGACATAATTTAATAAAAATAAAACTAAATTCTCTTCTCTTCTCTTTTTTTTTTTCAATAAAATTCAAGTTTTATATCTTCAAAAAATTAATGTTTGGTATTTAAGAATTAAATTATATAGTAATTTATATAGCTAAAATTGATTCTGATTGAATTATCCAAAAATATTTAATTTTGTTAAAATTAATTTTAAAAAAATAATATTTAAATAGATTACGTTAGAATATAATTAATTATAATTAAAATTTCTTACTTAATTAATTATTTTTATAATTTATTATACGTAACCAAAATTTAAATGGGCATTATAGTGTTTTGTACATGGATGCATATTTTAAACTCAGACCAGACAAACTTTCAAGGCCCAATGATTTTTCTTTGGCACAAGGCATAACAAACAGCCAACGCTCAAACTTTTATTTTTTTTAAAAAAAAGCCCACAAGTGACACCTCATATTAAAGGCAATATTTTTGTTTATAAAGAGAGACAATGTTATTTGAGATACTGTTAGACATTGGTATGAGTATCTCTCTTGACGAATATTTGAAACTTGGTTTGTCATATAATGAAAGATCAGCTTCTTTCGTTCGAGCCAATCCTATTGGCAAGACCAATTATGTTTAATTAAATTATTGAAATATATATTTAAGCCCAATCTTGCTCTTAAATATTACAATAGCTGAAGTATAATTGATATCAATTTTTAAAATTTAGTCATAATAATTTCGTAGATTTTTCGCTCAAATTTTTTAATAGAATTAAATTATAAGTTCTTTGCACGTTGAAAGCTAGCAACCTTGATTCAGATTTTGCTCCTTCAACTCAAGTATGAGAGTCATGCATTCATTTTGAAATGGGCTTTGAATTCTTCAAATCAAGTTTAAATAGACTCAATTTAAATGACTTTATTGTTTTTTTTTTTAAAAAACGATTTAACAACTTTATTTTTTCGCATTTGTTAATCCAAAAAAAATACTAAGATATTAAAAGTAATTTCATTTAAATGAATTTTATTTTTATTTACCTGGCAGTGTAAAAGAAAAGAGAAAAATTTTCTATTCACCAATCGCCGTTTTCTTCATATAAGTTTTGAACATCCTAATGGATGAAGCTTCCACTATATGAAGGGTTTGAGAGAGTCGAAGCCAAAAAAAAAAAAAAATATTTCCTTTAGACAATTAATATGACGGATAATACAGTTGTAATTATAATACATTTGCTGCAAAATTCATAATGCTAACATAAATCTTCGCCACTTATTTTTATGGCAGATCCGAGATCTCATTCTCTTCCTTTCATCTCCTTTAGCTAAAAATATTTAGTCTCACATTCTTAATATAACATGTAAATTTTACAACGAATTGTTTTAAAACCATGAATATAACACATTTTTCACATTTTTATGATTTTTTTTTGACATGGACATTTTTATGATTTATAAACCATGCGTCTTATTATAAATTGAGTCACCATAAAATAAATTTTCTGTTTAGATCTAAAATGGCGCGCATTGCAATCCTCCCCCCCCCCCCCCTCTTAGTTTTCTTTAAGGATAAATTATAGCTTTCTTCCATATATTATTTCTTGCTATATTGCTTCTATGATTTAAGTCTTAAACGTGCATGATTCTATTTCTCATACCAAAAAAAAAAAAAAGTGTGCCCCGTTCAAGTACGTTGTTAGATCAATAAAAAATCTTTTGTATTTTACGATTTTTTTATTGACATATTAAATTGATTTATGGTCTGCTTTACTGTTTAATATCATACAAGTTATAAAAACTCCAATATGTTAGAAACCCATATGCTAATATGTAAATTTGTAGGAAGTCAAAATATGTGATTTGTTCGTTAGTAGTATTTTTTAGGCTGTGATTTTTTTTTTTTTTGCTTGTTTGTGCATGATTAATTTTTTGAGTAATTGAGTAATTTAAGTTGAAGTCATCTGAAGTTAAATGATATACCTTCAATAGACAGGCACTTTTAGTTTTCAAGAAAAATTGTATTGATAAATCTTTAAATACTCTTGATTGCAAAACATTCTAAAATTGCTCTCAAGTGTTTCAGTCTGACTAAGGGTGTTTACGGGCAGGACAGGATCGAGATACCTCTATCTCATGTTCCGTCCTAAAAAATAATCGAGACTAAACTTCTATCCCATGTTCCGCCCTATTAGGAATCGAGATGGGACTACAATGAAATCAAGATGTTTCATCGTC